GTCATTACCAATTGGATCACATGAAAGTGGTAGGTGGCTGGTATGGATCTAATGGAATGGTGTTAGAATTCGAACTTTACCAATGCATAACATGCTATTTTCTATAAACGGACAAGTACAAATATAATAATAGTGAATGTCAATGTGGATTAACACGTGTATCAATATGTTGATGCATCGGATAAGTGCGACTAAATTAACAATCACATCGCACGAAAATGTTGATGGATCCAACACACAAATACATTTACTCACTTTCTATGTTCATTCATAAAATGCCCCTTTGAATATTATCTGAGCTCTTATGCTGACTGGCTTTTTACTTTAGTCACCATACGATGCTAACATAATTAGTGCTCGTACAGTAATAGACTTGAGAACTTGGTTACCGTATTAATCTAACTACCGTTAATATTTATATGATAACTCATCACCGTATATAACTAACAAAAAGAAAAGTAAAATTAGTATTCTCATTATACACGCAATGTGATACTTAACAATGCATTTATGTACTCTCGTTGTTTATTCCTAAAATACAAGTATCAAATATAATTAGATTCTATATCAAAAATTATATAAGTCTAATTAAAATTCAAATAAATTAATATGTCTATGGTAACTGACCTCTGAACTTAATCAGAATACCAAACTAATCAAATGTAAAGTTCAATTAGTACCCCAACTACTTATAAAGGAGAAGGAAAGAAAAACAACTAAATAGCTCAATGGACCAACTCCATTGCAATTGTAGTCAGACAAATTTCAGCCATTGATCACAATCATCCGCTTGATATTTACCATTTGGGGGATTTAGGTTTCCATCCAGCTCTGCAAGGTGTACTAATGTAATATTTTTTATTCAAAACTACGCCATGAACTTCCATGTGGAACAATTTTAAAAGTATTAGTCTACTAGTTTTTATGTTGTAACCGCCACACCTCTTCGACATGTTTGGTAACAAGAATAAAATAATATTGTATTGAAAAGAAGGAAAAACTTTGAAGTTTCGTAGAATATATCACCGGTATATTTAATACTG